TAACACCAATATTTTCTGCCTAGTTTATTCTGTAAAATGAGAGTTTTCACACCAGTAATATTCCAGCCATTATGTCCATGAAAGGCAAAAATATTGGCCAACCATGCATTTTATACTAAAATAAATCATATCAATGCCTATTGGACCACATACTAATAATATATTTTGATGGGACTCTACTACATCACTCACTCACACATACTTCCAAAGAGTGGGCTACTCAGGGGTGACCGGGTTAAGGGGGGGTGGGGTTCATTGGGAGGTTTTGTGGGGGGGGGGACATCAGACATATGTTGAAATATAATCTTCTTAGTTACCCATCAACTTGTGTGATCCCTCATCCTCATTAGGCTGAAATACCCAACCAGGCGAAACAACCTGAGGTGCTGTGCAATTGTGCGTATAAGCCTCAGTGTGTGTGTGTGTGTGTGTGTGTGTGTGTGTGTGTGTGTGTGTGTGTGCGTGTGCGTGTGTGCGTGCGTGTACGGGGGGGTGGGGGTTCTATTACCTTTAACATATAACATGTATGTCAATGATTATATGAAGAACATATAATAACGTCAGGTGCAGACAGTTGTCATGGTGAATTAGCAGTGCAGGGTGATTTAACGGAGGAAATTAGCTGTGTGGCGGTAAAGCTAACAACTAGCTGGTTCAGAAGTTGCGTGTGTGTGTGTGTGTGTATGGGGGGGGGGGGGGGTGTGTGTGTGTGTGTGTGTGCGTGTGCGTGTGTGCGTGCGTGTACGGGGGGGGGGGGGTTCTATTACCTTTAACATATAACATGTATGACAATGATTATGTCAAGAACACATAATAACGTCAGGGGCAGACAGTTGTCATGGAGAATTGGCAGGTTTGCCGGTTGGGAAGTTGTGTGTGTGCGCACTTACAAAGCCGTATCCTCTGGATTTACCGGTCTGCCTGTCCGTTATCACCACCGCCTCGTCGATGTCCCCGAAAGTCTCGAAATATTTCCGAAGTGACGCGTCATTGGTGTGATAGGGCAGCCCGCCGACGAAGATCTTGGTGAAGGTGGTGTCTTTCTGCAGCGCGGTGGGATGCATGACTTCCAGGGCTCCGTTCATAAACTGATGCAGAAGCATTGGGTCGAGCCGGAGAGAGACGGACCGGGAGGCTCACACACACACACTCTCTCTCTCTCTCTCTCACACACACACACACTCACACACTGAGCGACCGTCACAGCTTTAACTAACAGCAGCGTCCCGGCATCAGTGCGAACACACACACACACGGTTCCTCTGTGACCTTCGCAGGAAGTTAGAAACAACCTGATGACATGTAGAGCGATCACTCCGCCGGGTCTCTCACTGACGAGCGGCTCCTGTGACAACGTCAGGAAAAATGTGCGGGGAGACTTTTATACGCCCGGCACAAGACCACGCCCGTGCCTAACTATTGACCACTCACCGTGCCCGCTGAGTGCCAACTTGGGCAGCGGCTTCTCTCATTGGCCCGCCTCCCCCGGCTCTGGAGCTGCACCTGCTTTTGTCCTTTCCAACACAAAGAGAATGTGGGAGCAGGCCACATGGAGCGGGGACAGTCTGATGGACGAGTCCGGTCTCAGCCCCTGCTTACCCTCTACTCCATCCGATCAACCAGTTTACATTTGTTTAGTGTACTCTCATTTCACTGCGTCACCATGACACTGCACATCAACAGCATGTGCAGAGGAGTTAGGTTTTAACATTCCCATACAGCGCGAGAGAAACAGTAGAAAGTGCGCCACTTTGACTAAATACAAAACACACTCCTAAGTTTGATTTGGTTTAATTTACTCTATTGTCTATAATTCTTCCTAATATAATCTCATTTTATGTCCCATTATAGTGGAGATAGTCTAATTGTGCTACTGTAGAATACACAAGAGTAGATTGATATTTTCTTTTTAAACTTCATTTTTCAATGATTTTGGCTGTGTACTTAAAATTCACTGCAGGACTTAATTTGTTGATTACATATATGTCGTGTCACTTATATACAGAGAACTCATATATGTACTTATACGTTTACAACAGGGAAACTACATTTTAATCCCATCTATGTTTTGTACATATGTCAAAAGCTGACATTGACGTGACTTAGATTCTAAGTTGAGTTTATATGGCCTGCATTCCTTAATAAAACTGGCTTAAGTTCAATTGGACAATTTTCTATTACCCCTGCACATCAAGCTACCTTTTTAAACCACATCACTGCACATTTTCCCAAAACATCTGGAGCAGATGTAGCCTTTGTGTGGAGCGTTTGCTTTCCACTGTCATGGTTATGTTAGACTGCTCACAAACATTAATAACCTCTGTGGCAGATTGAGGGGTCTGGAAGAGCAGGTCAATCCTACTGTTTGTAATAGCTTGGCTATCAAAATTACTATTGATCTCCAGATGGTTACAGAAGCCAGCTACTTCTTTTAATTATACAAGAATTTGGTCAAACTCAAGGACTTTCTGCTCAGTTAAAGAAGCTTGATGGAGCCTAATGTAACAGTAGAGGAGACGGCAGTCTAGAGGAGTGGTACCAGCGTCACCCCATGAAAGTTGAGAGGAGCCGGTGAATTGTGGCAGCAGCGTATCTTCCCGCCCTCGGTGCCTTGCAGTTCTGCTGCTAAGTACCAAGGGTCAGGCTAACAGCGAGGTGATACTCTAATGACCTCAATAAAAAGGCATTTAATTCACACCTTCTTCTCTATGAACTGGTTCACTTTTCACACATGGGCCTTTGTAGCTGCCCATGCACCCTCATTCATATCCTCTTGATAAATCCCCCCATTTCCAGCTGTGTATCCCCCGTCAAAAGGAATTAACCTAAGTGAAGAACGCCACTGTCCTGCTTTGATCTCATTTGTCCTGCTCACCTCTGACAACACAGCTCCTCTCCTATTTTTGAGAAGCAACACACCAATGGGGAAAAGGCTCACCCTGCTGGTTAACTTGGTTTAAAACAAGCAGACAGAATGGCTCATTGTGACACAGATGCAGTTCAAAGTTTTTCATTTTCTGTTTTGTGTTGATCCAGTCGAAGAGGTTTACAGCTAAAATATGTAGGATAGTGGTCATGTTTTCGCATGCACGTTACATTTCCGTAAATCCCCAACAAACAGTAATACAGCAAACACAATAGGTTATTTTTAACCTGCTTACTCCTTCAAGTTGGAATAAGCATGTTCACATCTAAGAGTATGCACTTTGTTATTTATTTTACATCCCATTTCCATGTAATGGAGCTAAACCTCAGAGTAACATTAAATCAAGAGAATGAAGAGTCTTTGGAAAACTGTAAAAAAAAAATAAAAAAAAATAATGAACAGCTGAACACGTAAAAAAAGTAATAAAGATCAAGATGAATGACGAATAGAGCCCTCCCCCTTCTATGATAAACCTCTGTGGCCAATTGTCACGTAGCTGTCATCAACGGCAGGTTGGGTAGGCCTCTCTGATTGGTCCATGCACAGTACACGCAGCACCACAGCAGTGGTCCAGGTGTTTGCCGAAAGGAAGGAGTCTGTCTCGAGCGTATACACACACTAAAGCAGCAGGTCTTCCGCATTTCTTCACAAGAGATGCGACATGGCACGACGAATCTAAAGACAGGACGGAGCAGTCAGTCACAAAGTATGTTTTTTTGTGTTTATTTCTGTAAGGGTTTTCTTATTGTGTCCCCTTTTCCAGAGTAAACAGCACAAAAACACTTGTCAGCAGACTAATCAAAAGCTTACAAATGTGTGATTCATTGTAAATTATTGATTTCCTACAGTTGTATAGTAATCCCATACATTCATTCATATTTTTCTATATTTCTATTTTTTTTTATTCCTTACACTTAAGTATTGCCTGTTACTTATTACTTGCTGATGTCTTTGACTCTTGCTGCTGTAACACTGCAAATTTCACCATTGTGGGACTAATAAAGGATTGTCTTAATGAACAATTTGATTTTATATCATTAAACACAGTGCAGGGTCTCACTACTGACAAGGTCAAACTGTTAATGCCAGCCGAGTTCATCCTGACTGTACAGGTGCAGAGGCAGCTTGAATTCACTATAACAGCAGAAAATAAACCAACTGAATCCACTCTGATCAGTGCAGCAACCATTCCAACAAAATGACTACTGGTAGCAGAACTGAAATCTGAACCATGTCTATTTCCTCATTGCCCACATCCATGCATACGAGCAGCCTAAAACACTCAGTGAGTCAGTGAGAGCAGAGGAAGTGGGGCAGCACCGCCCGACGACCAGGGTCTCCAGGTTTACGGACAGGGGCTGCCCTTCTCTCACCATTTCTTGTTCCGAGGCTTCAGTTCCTCTGCAGCATTCCTCAGAAAGATGTAGTTCTTTTTCTGGGGGTTGTAATACTCATGGCCCTGAGGGATTCAGAATGACAGTCAGTGACTTAACAGAACAAGAACACTTTGGAGCTCAGGGTGAGAAGGCCAACTGCAACATACAAAACACCTATTCACAACTGAATACCCCTTACCTTCGACCAGTCGTAACTGGAAGCATATGCAAAGATGTTGCCATTATGGTTAAAGCAGCAAGCTGTAATGGGCTGGTCAAGCTGCTCAGACGTCTTCAACTTGGTGCGGGCGTCTTTGTCCCAGAAGCTGAAGCGGCCGTCTGAGCCTACAGTAGCCAGTGTGCCATGAACAGGATGGAAGGAGATAGCATTGACCTGAAGGAAGAATATGTTATTTAGTATAGGTGCATTTATATTTTAATAATGTGTAAAATGTATACTGATGAAAATAGTGATCTGGATAGGGAACACTGCACTAAATAGAACACATTAAGGATTTTTTTCACTGCAGATATGACACATATTAACAAGAATTGCACAGGGGAAAATAAATTGATTTTCAATTGTAGTTTATCCAGTTCCAAGGTATCCATTGTTTATGTTATTATTAATACCTAATGTTTCCTCCCATGAGGAGAATGTCTGCAGTGAAAAAATACACACTCTATCAAAACTAACGACTTAACTTTTTCTTTGTTCTGATCAAAAAGAAAAACAAGCTAATATATTCTAAGCACAAATTATTCTTTCGACACTGCCTCAGAAACTCTGAAGAACTTACAGCGTAGATGTCCTGCGGTGTGGTTGTGTTGGTTCCATTGGACCTGTGGCACTTGAAGGTGAAGTTGTCTTTGGCTCTGAAAGACGTCAGCAAACACATTCATATCATCTTTTGCCTCAGGCCGTCAACAGTGCCTTTTTAAATTATGTAAACATGATAGCTATCAAGTATGTTTGGACCTTACTCAATTAAAGCAACACTTGTAGATACTGATGAACAAGACTCCAAAAACACAGTTGGGAGAAACTGATTATTTTGCACACTCACGGGTTTGGAGGGTTGATGTAGTGGATGGCTACTCGACCCTCAATGCTTCCCAGAGCAAAGCCTGTGGGCTTGTTCTGCTTGTCCTTGAATATGGCAACACAGCGGTGCTGCAAGGACATGGTAAAGAAGAACATCAGATCAAAAGACTATAATGCATTAAAAAACTTTTGATTAATGAGACTGGTGGTACTAAAAAAGTAGCAGGTTAGTGGTGTATAGAGAGAAAGAATGAAAAGATAATGAATTAACTCACCTGGTGTTTAAGAGGAGATTCTATTCTGCGAAATTCCGAGGGCTGGTTCTCCAGCTGGTACACTATCAGTCCTCTCTCAGCTGTAGCAACCACTGCCATGGGGTAAACCTGCATAACAGTCAGGAAGGTTGGATATAAGCTTAATAAGTCACAATCACTACGTATTAAAATACATGTCATACCAATAAAACAACACTTACAACATCTGCACAGTAGCATCTCTCTGGCATCTGCAAAGACATCATGGGATTGGGGGAACGGGTGTCCCAGAACTGAGGAGGAAAACAGCAAAGTATTTTTCTCAGTGCTACATTAAGTGCTCCAGAGTTTGACATGGCGTTCACTGATGAATTGCCTTTGTATGGTAAGGTTTGTCTTGGTAAATTAAAAACCAAATATATCTTGACTGTGGCAGCCCAGTTTGGTCTAAATTGTCCCACCACAGTTTCATAATGATCACAGATATTATTTACATTTCTCATAAGCCGATTTCAGACATTAACTCCAGATATTTTCCAGCAGGAAATGGTCAGATGCTTTCACAACAGGTAGGACATGGCTTATATATTCCACTGCAGAAATCATATTTCCACTGCAGAAATCATGTTTTTGTTTACAGCACATTTGCACTGATGTTGGCCCTTATCACGAAAAGCTCTTGAATCTCATTGTCTTTCCAAGTGGACATCTTTGGAACAGCTGACTCTGACATTGACTTTGTGACGCAAGCCCTCCAGAAAATTCAGGAAAATGTCCAGAGTTCTGTGCATGCCTGAAAGCAGCTTTAATAACCTAAAAGATCTGTAACTGAAATGTTTCTTGCTTCTGCTTCATTGTAGACCTGTGTGCAGCGCTCTCTCTAGCCGTACTCCAGAGAAAAAACGAAGGAGGTGCATGTGTGAGCGCAATTGTCCGAGAACATATCTCGGGTTGAAAGCAGTGACACACACGTAGAAGACACAGGCGAAGATGTCAGGAGAGTTTCTGGTGATAAGAGCTGATGACGGTGTCGGGGTGCTGTAAATAAAATCATGTTATTCCTGCAGCGGACTTAATATGTCACTTCCTGCCTCTGCCTGCTACACCCAGCAGCTCTAGTCTGTGCAGAAAGCCTCCCGCTGTGTTGTGCAAGTGTGAAAGGTTGACTCTGGGTAAACTCAGTTGCCAATTCTCCACATTTTACCCGGAGGTCATGGCTGAAAACAGTTTCTATCTCTCACAAACACATTCACCCATCTGTAATGGTTATTCTGGCCGTCGGCAGCACCGGGAGAGAACCTGAGGCAGACCACAGAATTCATGTGTGCATGACAGCATACTGCTCAGAAGCTACAACCACAAATACAATCTCATTTTAAAGGAAAGACTGCTGGTATTATAACACTTTGTCACTAGCTTGTGATTCTTGTTATTAAAAACTAAAAAGACTCAGGAATAAAATGTGCTGATGGAAAAAGTTGTACCTTCAGTGTTTTGTCCCAGCTGCCAGTCATGATACAGCTGTAGTTAGGGGCTTTTATCCAGTGGATTGCTTTGATTGGACCATCATGCTGTGAGGAGAAACAGTGAAAGGTTTAACCTGATTCTACATCATTCTTAGAACCATATAGTTGATTTATGAGCTTTCATCCAACCTGTGCTATCTGCATGGCTTGATTGCTGTTGAGATCCCACATCTTGGCTGTCTTGTCACAGGAAGCAGTGAACACTTTACTACCATCCTGATTAAAGAGAACAACACATCATAGATTGTTATATGACACCGGCAAACAGCATCTAATAGCTGACACTGCTCTGCATGATGAGACTTACATCACTCCAGCATGCGTCCAGCACTGGGCCTGTGTGCATCTGTTGGGCTTTGGGAACTGTCTGGCCATTGTCTTGCACCTCCCAGCACCTGACCTGAGAATTAGACGATAGCAGCAGAGTTAAAATGAGAAAGATTATGAGGACACTAAAAACTTTTCTTGTCATCAATGAAAGATGGGCTTTGTGGAGGAATCCTTCAACTCAACACCATTCAAGTACAATATTAAAATAATTATCTCCTCCAAGGAGGTTATGATTTCATCTGCATTTGTTTGTTAATAGAAATACAAGAAAAAGATGTCCTTGAAATTTTGTGGAGGCATCATTAAATTTCAGAGTGGATTCATAGGAATGGTCGGATCTTGGAATTTCTTTCTTAGCATGGCAAAATTGGGCATTAGCCTTGACAGAGGTCCGGGTGCCCCTCTATGACACATGTATTTTAGTAAATACACTGTACTCAACTGTTAACCACTTTTATGACTGAAGAATTAACTCACATCATTGGCCCAGGATCCTCCAATGAGGAAGTTCCCTGGCATGGTGGGCGGACTAAAAGCCAGACAGCTGATACTGTCATCTGGAGGGGAAGTCACTTCAACATCCTGTTGGACAGTCAGGGACACACACAACCACACAATAACATAAAGTAGTCAGATACAAAGATGAATGCAACGTTTTCTGCAAGCAATTTATTAAGGAAAACATGTCAAATACTAATCCTGCACTCCTCTGTCTCACCTTCATGGGATTATGGCTGTCTGTTGTTGTGCTCCCAAAGACACCAGTCCCTCCTGTTCCAAACCCGGAGCTCGTCCCAAATAAACTCATAGTGCACTTATGTTGTCCCTGATGTGCAACAGAGAAAAGACAGAGAGGAACAGTGCGGGTCAATAACAGCAGATCACATAAACTGGCGTTTTCAGATGCGTCAACATGATGGAAAGCCAAGTTCACAGGTAATTTACAGCAGATGATAAAGACACAGAATGAAGCATGAAACAAACACTGAGTGTAGCTGGAGATAAGGGACGTTTTACCATTAATCTAGAATATATCAGATTTGCAACTAGATCTTTATTCGTGGCTCTTCGTTTATAAACTTTCCCTAAAAGTGGCACGTTAGATATCAGGTCAAGTAAACTCGTGTAACGTGAACCAAACAATCTGACACTTGACAAGATGCAGCGGAGCAGCTAACGTCACAGCTAGTTCCACCCGTTAGCGCGGCTAACTCGTAAACACATGTGGTGAGCTAGCGTACTAAAAACACGAGGACACTTTAGCCTTGTAAGATATTTAAAGTAGCTCTTAGCTTATGTGCTACTGATTTAGCCTTGTATGTGGGTCGGATAATGGGGATGAATTACCGCTAGCTAACGTTAGCTTCTTCAGTCTATGATACCATCAACTGTAGCCGGTAACTTCCTGGATAACAGCACACTTACACACATCAGAAACACAACCTCGCGACTACACGAGCATACATACCACCAGACTTGTTTTGGTTGTGGCTTAAGCGGTAATGCTGCAAAATGCCAAAATAAATTGGCGCAACCAAAAATGTGGCGCTGGTTCTTCCAATGTGTCGCAGTTTGATGACGTAGCGCCGGCCCCGGTGTGCGGGTTCATGTGAAGTGGACGCATGGAGGCGGTGTGGGACCAGAAGTGTCTCCACTGCTCAGAGGAGAGGAGCTCCGTGTGAAGCTGCCGTGTCCACGGCCCAGTGTGTGAGGACCATGGGTCCAAATGAACCAAACCCCCGTCCCCTTCATGTGCAGACTAATCAGACTCCAGTTCCTACCTTAAAGTGGAGTGAGCATAAAATGTAGAGGGTTAGATTTGTTATTATTATCCGCCCACACATCTCCCAGAGGAGATCTGAGATCACTAATCCAATTGTTTTTTTTTTCATACATGATGTCTCACTGAATTCACTGTATTCAACTGTTCACCATTTTATGACTGATTAATTAACTTATATCATTGGCCCAGGATCATCCATTGAGGAAATTTCCTGGTGTGCTTCTCAAGACTGAAGGTCTGAAATCACCTGTAACTTTTTATTTTTACTTATTCACTCACACTTTCAATCTGACTGTGTTCTTACAGATCTTTCATTTTATAATGTGCTACCTTATTTTTTGTTCTTACTTATTTCTCATCTGTGGCATTATTCTTATATTTGTGCTCTGTCTAATGCTATAGTTGTTCTTAATTGTTTTCTATTGTTTTCCCTCAGTTATTCAGTTTTAACTTGTGCCTTGTAGCTGTGTTTCAAAATGTGCTATATAAATGTTATAATGTTTATTAAAGATGCATCACACAGTTGCAGTTGGTAGACATTATCCAACTACGTGATAAGCTACTACTTTGTGGCCTATAATATTAACATTCCTTGTATAAATGTTGAGGAATAAAAAGCATAACATCTAAAATGTGGTTACAAATATGTACCAATTGCAAGACCTCAAAATTGTACCTAGTTATCCAGTAGTAGTCTGCTGTTGTAAATGTCCTCATTTACTTTCCAACTGTAACCATGCCTGTGGTCGTTTTATGGTCTATTTAAATGTAGAGTTTGCCTGTATGGACACATAATCTGAATAAAAGGGATCTTGAATACAAAATAAAACAATCAGGTTGAGATGTCTTCTAACTGACTGTGGGAGGTTGCGGGGGATAGATTCACAGAGGTTTAATACATGAATCATCTCACTAGTATGTTAGAGCAGAAGAAGCCTCTTGAATTAGAGGTGAAATGTCTTCAAGAAACACAAGCAAGTCCAGCTGCTATATGTGCACTTGTACAACTACAGAGAATACTTTGATCTGGACGACTGAGAATCTTGCAGGTAAATTAGACCAATTAAGTATAAAGAGTGTAAAGATTTTTGGTTGTGACTTGAGGATAAATCTCAATCCTTTTGAGTTTTCTATTACAGATTATATAATAGGACAAAACAAAACCATCCTCATTACATCCCATTCATCTGTTATGTGTATAATAATAGTATGGCTGTTAATGAATGATCTATATTGGACTAGAGTTAGTATACATTAAGCATATTGATAGAACATGGGGCAAATATTAGATGACGTCCACCTTGCTGAGGAGTCCTTGTGTGAATCAGACTTTTATAGTCTTGAATTGTTACCACTTAAGAAGTACTAAAGTTTACAAATGTTTGTAGAGGACTCTTGAGTTTAAGGGTTCTAAGGAATGAGTCATGTAAAGCGACCTTTGCTGGGAAAAAAAACTTTTTTTCGGTGCTAATGTTTTTTATTAGCTGATTTTAATTTGAATGAATTTGTTTATGGATTGCGTCAGTGATAACCTTTGTGCAAAGACAGAAGTTGAAAATAGAAGTTGAGAAACAGAAGAGCCTGTTAGGAAAAAGCCATTTCTCATAGTTTGGCCAGTGGCTATGACACATAAACCTCCTCCTTTACGTTTTAATGGCTGAACCAGTCACCGCTGCCCTAAAACCACAAGTTAAGCACATGCATAATCTGCCCTTTATTCCTTTGTCATTCATCACCCGCCCTCTACCCCATTAACTCTCTATTAAAGCAGTCCCAGTGGAGTGCTTTACACATTGTTGTAGTAATTCATAGGGGCCATTGGCATGTCCCATCATGTACCTGGGCTACTGCTGCTGCTTATCCCTCAGACCCCTCAACAATTAGGGTGGGCCTGGGTTTATTGTTTGAGTTCAAAGGTGTCTGCCTTGAAGTTGGGATTATGGGATTTCCCCTCTTTACTTCTCATTTAGTGCTGAAGTGTCCCCTTGTGTTTAGCACAAATCCAAAACATTTCAATGTCCTAAACTGTCCAAATATGTGGTCATTAAAATATCATGGGGTTTGAAAATAAGTACACATGAATTTTAATGTTAGTATCGGAGAACAAGGATATGGTCACGACACAGAGATGCTGCCAGACCTGCAGAGGAAAAGAAAAGGTTCCAGGGAATAAATGTGCAAATCAGATATTAATTGGAGCCCACTTTCATCAATGGCCAAACGATCATGTCCAAACAAAGGACACAGTGATGGGACACTTTGTGGTTGAAAGGTCCACACCCATTACCAAGAAGCTCACTTCATGAAAGGACACTGATCCCTTTTCGCCCATTGCCTCACTCCCTGTCCCAGTCTTTGGTTTATCCCATTTTGAACCCCTCCTGCCCCTCCCCTGACACAGCCTCAATAAAATCCATTCCCAAATTGCCACCCAGAGGAGCGCACGGCAGAATCAGACCGTGCGTAACAGCAGATGAAGAGGGAGTGATACCATGAGTTCATAGAGGATAGCGCGTTTAATTTCCTCACATGAAGTTTGAATTTTACGAAAAGAACCGCTTCTCCAGATTCAGCTTTCTACTTGTTTGAGCCGTGCGTAAAACTTTGGGTAAAAAATGTTGACAAGCGCCTTGGCAACAGTGACTGCCATTCTGTCTTGGGGTTACTACGTGATGGCCACGCAGGTCGCCTTCTCCAACTTCTCCATGGACAACGAGGTGCGCTCCAGCTTCATCCAGCGGCGGCTGCGGAGCCAGGAACGCAGGGAGATGCAGCGGGAAATCCTCTCCATCCTGGGGCTGCCGCACCGTCCGCGACCGCACGTCCACACCAAACACAACGCTGCGCCCATGTTCATGCTGGACCTGTACAACACCATCTCCACAGACGCGGAGCCTCACGGGTATTCTTACTATAAGCCCGCTTTGCCGACCCAGGCCTCCCCCATGGTGACCTCACAGGACAGCCGCTTCCTGGATGACGCAGATATGGTGATGAGCTTTGTCAACCTGGGTGAGTTATCAATTCAAATTTTGCTTTTTATTTCTTTCAAATTGTTTAACGTATTAAATAGCACACGAGTGGGTTGTGGTCTAGCAGCATTATAATATAATAATTTAATGCAATAGCCTAAATGACACATTTACCAGTGATACCATGTATATGTGTCAAAATAATTTCTGCTCCCTCCCTCACCAGTGGCCTTACTATAATACCTAAGGGAATGGTTCATAAAAATATGTTAACTTTGTATTCTTGTAGTTACAAAAGTTATATGGCAAACAATAGCATTGGTGTGTTAGGTTTACAGGTTCTAAAAACGTTTAAAATCTTTTTAAAGTCCTTTACAGCCACTAACCCACAACAGAATGCATTGCTTAAGTGTGTGTGTCATTGTGAAAGTCTGTGTGTCACCGACTTTTGTGGCTTTTAGGTCACTTTCCTCTCTTGAAATGGAGCATTATGCATTCCGAGCTGTAAATGTTATGACAACATGCCTGTATCCGATTCCCCCAGAATCCCTTCAAAGCTCTAGGGGAGAGGCTTTAGCCTGGCTTTGTTTCGCATGACTAGGAATTGAACAGGCATTTCTGAACCCCTGGGGAGTCAGAGACAAGTTGAGTGAGATCAAGATACAAGCTGCATCTAAACATATGTTATTGCTGCAGTAATCTGTGTTATTGCAGGTGTGTATGCATTCCTGGATCTGCGTCTGTTTGCATGTTTGTTTGCAGGGTGTAAATTACAATGGGGGTCACAGGTGGGAGAATTACGCTCACTCAGACGTTATTGAATTAATAAAAAGGCAACTCCTGCCTTTGTTTCCCCTGGAGATCCCACAGCAGCTCTGATATCACTATGGTGAAACAGGCAGATGGCATGGTGCCTGTGGCTCTTATCTGGATGTGGTTACGTCCAAACCTAACCGGTCCTTCTTTGGCCTCAGGGCTGTAGGTCAAAGTGAGGATATGAAGTTTGTTCAGAGGAACCGTTAACCAGTGGCCATTGTGATTGAGGTTAAACCTTAAACGAGGAACCATTTAGATTTATTTCTTAAATCAGGTCACAACAGTGTGCTTAATGCTGAACATTTGCAAAACTCTAAAACTTGAAATGCAAAAGATTTTACGTCCTCAGTAGTGAACTTCTAACTTACAGTCTTTGGCTAATGAGATCTGGAAACATTGTTATTGAAAACCACTAACAGATTCATGTGGTTGCACATCTGTAGACTTTGATTATGAAGAGGAAGGAGGGCGGGGAGGACACAATGAGTTTATATTATTTGTCTCTCTAAAGCCCACCACCACAGCCTCCTGATAATTGACAGAGGTTTTTAGCCTGTGCTCCCACATTGTGCTGTGAGTGGCTCTATCCTGGTGGTCCCAGGATGATCGCTTCAAGACTGAACTGGATTATTTCCTTTCAAAAGACCACAGCTTCCAGTGTGAGGGAGAGAAGCTGCTGTAGAGGCGGCCGATCCCTTCAGCCAGTGAACACAGCTCCACATTGGTCATTCAATTATCAGTAAATGACATTACAGAGGGGACGTAGAAAAAAGGAATTCAGCCCCTTTATCATTTGTTAGACAGTATTAGAGACATTGTAATGTGACTACACATACAAGTGAATGGCTGCACATGTGTACTTTTGTTTGAGTGCCAAACCACAGGTTGTACCTCCAGAATCACAGTAGAATTAGTCTCATTGTCATAAAGCAGCATTACACAAGGCAGCTGCTATTCCCCATGGAACATATTGAACACACTGCTGAGGCCTGACTTTGCTGCGAGTCATCTGCAGCTCTCTGCTCTGCTCACTCCTTGTTTGCAGCAGCTGAAAGTCTTTGCCCGGAGACGAGTACATGTGCGTCGACTATGGGCTCCTTTTGACTTGATCGCAGCACACCTGCAGAGCATGGGAAACAGGCTTAATGGCCAGAAAAGTCACTGGCTTTCATTAAAAACAGAAAAAAAGGGCTCACAATGCTCTCAAAATGTTGGAGGAAAAAACACTTCTTTGAAGAACAGAAGAGCTATTGTGTTTTTTTGGAGAACATGTAGGAAGAATTGGTTTGTCCTGCTAAGCTGATCTGTAGGTAACATAAGGAGATCATATGAAGAATTTCTATTGCCCCCAGCAGAACAATCTCATTAACTTTCTCATTATTTGTACATCCATGTGTAAAAATGATCACACTCTTTTGAATCTTAAACTCCAGTTGTAATTGCACCGCCACCTTTGTGTGAAACTTGTGTGAAACTTTTGGCCTCCTGACATTCTGCAGGAGAATTATAAAAAGAAGATTCAGCGAATCAAGTATTTTTGCATTTCTACTAGTCTGTAACAAACCAGCTTAGGGTTTTAAGGTATGTTTAAAAACTTGCCAACACACGAATATGAAAGCAGTAAATAATTATACTTTAAGAAGTGACAAGAATGCCATTCATAACACTAACCAATTACTGTTCAAGAAGATCACACCTCCCTCATGTTTTAAAGTTGGTTTCAGTGCAGTGATTGTGATGCTTCTTAAAAACCACCCACGCTGATTCGTAGAAGAAGAAAAACAACTTCCCACTTACTATAAAATTGCAGTATGGGTTAACGATATCTCCGTGGCTGTGTGGCCCCGCAGTGTCAGAAGAAATCTGAAGTGTTGAAATGCCTCCCAGAAGGAAGTTTGCATATCTGAGGTCTGATCTCTGCAGCTAATGGTCTCTAACGTAAACACACCGAGTCCTTACAAGCAATTATTGCTTTCATAAAAACACCCCTCTTTCCCCTGCAGCATTTAATTGCGGTCAAACAAATGACTTGCAGGGTTCAGAATGCGCTGCTCTTAACGATGAACGGCCTGTGTGTGTGTGTCTTTAGAAGTGTTTTTAGAGGACGTGTGTGTGTGTGTGTGTGTGTGTGTGTGAGGGCCATTAGGTGAAAAAATGCTATGCTGCTAGTGTTGGGGTACTGTGGGTCTCTGTACACTGAAACAATAGTGGACCATCAGAAGTAACGCAGGGTGATGTCATGATGATGTCATGGTGTATGCCACTGGGCAGGATGTGTTTAAAGTGGCTAATCGCTGCTCTGCTCTGCACACCTTCACCAGAGACCTCCACTGCTCTTTCCAAGGACAAACACATTGACTAACGCTGTAAAAACACAACACTGGAAAGCTTCAGGGAGCTTTGGGGTCTCTCCCTGACCACCGCTCTTCTGGAAACTCTGAGTGGTATATAGAGAGAGAGAGAGAGCTTCAGCTGGCCCAGGGCGGGGCGGAAACACCAATGTGCCACCGGCCACTGCAGCTTCACTTCACCCTCTACAATCAGGATGAAATCACTATACAGTAATACATGGCAAAATGATCAGGGAGGTGTGGGTGGTACAGACGCTGGTAGTTAAGTCACACATGAATTTGTGGATCTCTATACTTTACGTGAGTGTGTTTGTAAAAGCACGCTGGCTGCTGTGGTTTTCCGGGCAGTGCCTTAACAGGCCTTTTCTTGTGGTCAGCACATGTGTGCAGTTTAAACAGGGAGCCAAACTGAGCCCTGACTGTGTTTTTTTTCTCCCCCACATTGGCATGTATGGCAGAGCTTAACTTAACTTAAGTGATGTTTAGATCAATGGCTTTAACCGTGGAAGCCGGATTTTTCCTATCTCGGTGCTTCCGAGATGTGGGCAGAGCGACACACATCAGAGGATCCTTTGAATGAGCGACAGATTTGACAGATATTGCAGCTGCTGACTGGTTTACCATCTGATTGTACTCAGCGGATTGGTTTTTCCACACATGGACAAACCTTCCCCCCAAACCTTCCCCCCCGAGAAATATTGTTTCACTGTGTGTGTGTGTGTGTGTGTGTGTATCAGCTGGGGAGAAAACAACCACCCATTAATCACAGTGATATCACAGTTGTGTAGAGGCTGGTGGGAGAGTTTGATCAAACATAAGCTGCAATCAAATGTTGACTCACAGCCTCTGAGCTCTGTCTCCCTGCCAGAAAACCACCTGTTCTCCAGACCAGCTGAACTCACTGTATATCCTCTCCTCTTTCTTCCCCCTGATAGTTGAACAGGATCAGGATCTTCTCCACCAGCAGCACCGGAGGGAATTTCGTTTTGACCTTTCCCGTATTCCAGAGGGGGAGGCTGTCACAGCAGCAGAGTTCAGGATTTACAAGGATTTCGTCCAGGAACGCTATGAGAATGAAACATTCATAGTCAGCATCTACCAGGTCCTGCAGGCGCCTTCAAATAGGTATGGGTGGTTTATTTTCAGCTTCCTGTCATTTTACTATTTCAAAGATGATATAAACTCTCAATTTGCATGTGTCACCTAATTTTTATGATTGTTAACACATTAAGTGTCCATTTACCTAATTTATTAATTTATCTGTGTCGGAATCTTACAATGTGTATAGGACGTTTTCATTCTATGTGTTTCTGTCTTTCACAAGAGTTACTTTAAAACCATTGATCCTATTTCAAAGGTTTTGTGGAGGGATAGGTCATGACTCAACAAAGAACCCATTAAAGTTTAGAGTGGGTATGGAGAAATGAGTGGATCTAGGAATTATTTTTCACAATCTTTAATATAGCGAGAAATCCTACCCTAGTGGAGGTATTTTCTCTCTGTTTTGCTTTTATTTGGTTAGATTTTGATTTGGTTGTGGTGCTCAGAGCCTCACAAAAAGACATTTAAAAAGTGACCACCAACAACCTTACCAGAAACAGTGACCAGTGACATAACACACTGTTTTAGGACTCTGCCTCAAGTGGTTAAACAAAGAGACTTGTTGCTTATCCTGAGAGACAGTTTCTAGTGACACATCAAGTGAATTTTTAACTTTTAAATTTGTGTTGAATGGTAATTAGCATGCTAACATGCTAAATTAAGAGGCAGAACATGATAAAGATTATACCTACTATCAACGGCAAAATGCTGATGTTAGCATTTTCGCTTGGAGCATGATTGTGCCTAGGTACAGCCTGACAGTGCTGCTCTCAAAGCTGTGGCCTCATATACATATTTAAATGTGATTCCCGGTCATTGTAAAGCAACAGAATCACAATTATCCTAATTATATTAAGGTGGTGCCAGAGACCATGAGCTTTAAAACCAATGTAAAATGTAAGAAAAAGTTTGTAATTAAAGGTATGGCAAAATAAGTGCACACTTTTTATGTCATTTACTGAACTATTCCTTTAAATCAGTTCTCAAATGACAAGGTTTTCATGTCAGCTGAATATATCACTGTTTCGTATGATTACCCTCTTATCTGAGGGACGGAGTGTGAGTGGTTGAGTTTTAAAAACACAACATGCCTGTGTGTTATTCTGTGAAGCTGATAGTTAGGCTGCTGTACGTGCTCCGTCTACATCGGTTGCGTCTGCACATAAGTCCTCCCACAGGTTATTTCTGCTGATGTAAGTTTCAGCATCGGAGCTGTTTACACAGACATTAGTTTCAATTACAGAAACCCAGTGGTTCTCTCCGGAGCAAGGTCACTCTCACACAGTCAGAACAGAACGGTCCCCAGGAGACTAGCATTTATAACACACTGCTCCCACCACAAATAACACGCTCAGGCCTCAGGACGTCATTTTACTCTTTACTCTGTCACACAGGTGGTTATTCCTCCATGTTTTCCATCGCTATCTGTTTGTCTGTCTTTCTGTCTGTCAGCTTTACTCTCCTTACTCTTCTTGTTTCAAACCAAAATGTGAAATTGGATAAAAACATGACAGGTCTTCCTCATAAATCAAAGCGCTACAATCCACCCACATGATAGAGTCTCTGAACCCCATTATCCCATCTGCCTCGGCCTGTCTGGGGGGGGTGAGTCATGTGCAAGCAGTAGATTTCATCTGTGACAGTGGGGTGATGATGGCTTAAAGGGCAACACCATTGTCATTCATAGACACAAAGGCCACACGTATAGACGAGCAGGCAGCAGAACTTAAAGACAGACGTCTGCCTCCATCTGTAAACAAAGCTATTGTCTGTGAAATCTCTGCCCTTAAGACGACACACCAGTGGAGGATTTCTCCTCTTGGAAGTTAAGAAAACGCTCCTTTGATCATGGCCGCGTGGGAGTACATGATTCAGACTGTTAGCTCTGTGCAGATCACTATATATTTTTGAGACTGACTCAATCTGATTAAATTTTAAAGAGGTTTGTTCTTGCATTTTTTAAGTCTTCCTGTAGTTCCAGTTCATGCAAAAGAAAGAAAACAAAAAGGACACAAGCATGTCTTCTCTTGTCTTTCCTGCGTTTTTCATTTGTTTTTACAGCTGAACAGTTTTAGATAAAGTAGACAAGTTGATTTAAACTTGATTCATTTGCACTTGCCATTTGCCTGTTTGGGTGAGAGGAGAAAAATGGAGATGGGTGAGGGAAACAGGGAGGGAGAAGACAAGGGAAGAAAGAAGAGACAAATTAGAAACAGTTGCATTTCAACACCACGTCAGATATGTTGTTGTAGCCATAATAATAATTATAAAGGTGATCATTTTACTAATAAATAAATCAGCCGTCAATATTACTAATTACAGTAATAGCAATGCTTATTATAAATATCAAGCTGTAAATGTACCTGTATATGGGAACCTTCCATCGAAACTCTTGAAATGTATAGATCTGCTTTGACCACAGATGTATGTTACTCTCCTCAGTGAAGTGGAGCTGTTGCTGCTGGACCAGCGAGACATCTGGGCTGCAGAGGAGGGCTGGCTGGTGTTCGACCTGACCCCCACCAGTAACCTTTGGCTGGTCAAACCTGAGCAGAACCTGGGCCTGCAACTGGTCTTGGAGGACAGCCATGGTCAGTCGCTGCCATACAATTATGAATAAGATCCATAAAGCCAGCAAAAGACTTAAGACTGTAGTCTTTGTCTCAACAGATGATTAATGGTTATGATGAATGCTCTTTAAATCCTGTGGTTAAAAAGAGACACCACATATTGAGTAGAAATGTTTAGGATTTGAATTATGACTGTGGTTGTTGTGGTGATATTAGGATAAACAAATGATTGTTTAGTAGAACGTCAGATGTATTTTGTTGCCAGTGGCTGGTTGAGACTGACTCTAAGCAAGTTTTGTTGCTTTTGTCGCCCCCTGTAGGCCACAGGAGGAACCCCCGATTGGCAGGGCTGGTGACAGGCACCGGGCCCCAGGACAAGCAGCCCTTCATGGTTGCCTTCTTCAAAGCTAGTGAGGTGCGTTTCCGCAGCATCCGCTCTGCCCATGGCTCTAAGGGTCGCCAGTCTAACCGCTCCAAACCACAGAGGACTGTTCAGGATGCGCTGAAGGCAGTTGAGGCTGCAACCGGTGAGTGGACCCTCTCCCAGTCATAATGACCTGTAACAACCTATAAGTATAAAATCCTTTTCACACATTTTGAATACACTTGTGTTGACTCATATTTGCACATTTCACTTTCAGATAATCTTGGCTTTTCTAAAGAAGGATGTAAAAAACACGAGCTCTATGTTAGTTTCCGAGATTTGGGATGGCAGGTATTATACATTTCAGTTTATTTTTCATTACATTTATTTGATTTAATTTTCTAAAGTGAACACAAAACTTACCCTGTTGTTTTTCTCTGTTCAGGACTGGATCATAGCACCAGAGGGCTATGCAGCATATTACTGTGAAGGGGAATGTGCTTTCCCTCTCAACTCCTACATGAACGCCACTAATCACGCCATCGTGCAAACTCTGGTAAGTCCCTAAAGTGATGACAGTCCCTTCTACTGAAACCTCAGCTGTCTGTGTAGTGTGATTTATGTTTCTTCTTCTACTAACCACAGGTGCACTTTATCAACCCGGAGACGGTGCCCAAGCCCTGCTGTGCTCCCACGCAGCTTCATGGCATCTCTGTTCTCTACTTTGATGACAGCTCCAACGTCATCCTGAAAAAGTACCGCAACATGGTGGTCAGAGCGTGCGGCTGTCACTGATCGCTTGTCGACCCTCCCTATGAATTTTACAAACCTGGAGGGATACTTAAAAAAAGACAGAGGTGGAGGAAACAGAGGGAAGATGATTGACTGGGGAACTCCTGCCACCGAATGAACTTTATTCTGGGTAAATGCCTCCCATTCAGTATTAACCACTACCACATCCCAATCAGAACTACTGGTCACAGAGTCGGCTGAACAAAGGATTTACTTTTAGTGTGACTAGAAAAAGTGAACTGAGCCATGTGGAGTCACTTTAGAATAATACACTACACATTTATCATTGAAATGATCTGGATGTCAGACATGGGAATATTAAATGTTGCCTGGGTGAAAATGTGCATTACACTGCTCAAACAACCCACTGCACTTTGTCTTTTGGAGCAGACTGAATTCCTGATCAGAAATAAAAAAATCCAGTTCTACTAGTCAGGTGTAAGACATCTGGCAGCCTGTGTGTGTGCTGCTGATGTGGAGGAGCTCTGTGAAGAATGACAGCTGAGACTGTTAATAACAGTGTGCCGATGATTGAAAGGCCCTGACTGTTGGGCCCATAGTTTCCTGATGTAGACATATATCACTAAAGGCCTGTGAAGGGCGTACTGTCTGCAAGATGTGATTCATCTTCATGAAGCGGACACAAGGGTGTGAACCATCACCCCCGACCACAGCTGCCTTCTGGAGTTGCACAGAGCTACAGGTGATCGAACAAGAGGCTGTAACTTTACTATGTCAGATTAAACTAGTTGAATAAATGCGAACAAGAATCAGATGTGTGCTTTTTACCATATTTGGATCAATAATGCTTTTTGCAGTGTCATTCAAAACACCTCGACTGGTGCATTCAACTCACTGAGGTTCATTATCTACACAAGGTTTAGCTCTGCTGAAGCTTGTCTCATATATCATTACACAATCATCATCCTCTACAGATGGGGGAAATTTGAAAATCTATAATTCCATGATTCTTCTTCTCACAGTCCGAAGACATGCAGATTGGGATTAGGTCAGTCGGAGACTCTAAATTTACCATAGGTGTGAATGTGAGGGTAAATGTTTTGTCTGTGTACAGGATGTACCCCACCTCTCACCCAGTGTTAGCTGGGATTGGCCCCAGCTCCCCCACAATCCTTAAATCAGGGGTTCTCAAAGTAAAGGGAACCAGTGGAATCAGTTATTGTTGCTATATTTCATAGGTAACAGACTGACAGAATGTTATCACTATTTTGCTCCTGAATTTCACACACTTCCTGCATAACATCAAAAAGCAAAGAGGCTGTGGTCCAGTGTGTGTCAGTTAAGGGGTTCTTTGACATAACTGCCTTAAAAGATAATCGTTACAGATGATGGATGAATGGAGGGGTTTGAGGAAATTGCTCCATATGCTGAAGAAGCTCCTGTGATGTGGTTGAAAGCAGCAGATCAGCATTTAGCATTTCATCTCTTATCGTACAACTAATAAATAAATATACAGCGAATTTTACACAACACATTTATTTAACAGTGACAAAACTGCTCCACAATTTCAAGATCTAATCTGTGGTCATGTTTTCAGCAAACTGCCTGCCCTAACTGTTTCCACTGTCGTAGTTGAGTCTACATGGTCGCCATTTCAGTTCCTCCTCATTCAGTGGGCGCTGTGAGTACTCACAAGGAAGTGACATCACAGCGCCCACACATGATGCTGTACACTTGTAACAGATTGTGGGGCTTTGATATATTCATTAGTACAAAAAGCAAAGCACATACTTAACATTATTTGTGCAACAACCTGGCAAACAAAGGCATCCACAGTGACAGTCACTGAGAAGCTGAACGCTTCCAGCAGAGCACATTACATCACAGCCCACACTGTTGAAAACACACAATTACATCTGTCACTGTGAATAGAAAATAGAGGTAGAAGCGTGAGAACGGAAATCCTACTGATGCAATCAAAAAGGTGTTGATTGTCGATGCTCGTCTTCTCTGTCATTGAGAAATGAAGAATTCTTATATAACATTAGGCAGGAGACAGATCAGCTTCAGAATATATCACCAGCAGAGAACGACCTGAGGGAGTGCTTTTTATGTGCTTTTCAAGGAACACAGACTGATTCTGTCAGGACTGCTGGGGAGAACATGAACCCTCAGAATGAAAAGTGAAACAATCTTCTTTGAGCCAACAAGATCCTTCTCAACCTCCCTGTCACTGCAGCGGCTCCCTGCGGCGACACATTTTTCATATGTCCTCTCAAAAAGAGCTTTCTCACATGAATGAGCGTTTGATCAGACTCACAGATAATGGAATATTTAACCTCAATTCAACTCTCATGATCAATGTGACTTACCTTGACAAATATGTGCTAATATAACCTCTAGGGGATCCTGAGTGCCACTGATCTTCTTTAGATTTACTTCTTATAGATATATATATACATTTTTAAGATGACAGTCAAGCACAGAAATATGATTCAGGAGGTAGAAAGAAAGCAAACACAGGCTAAAGATAGCAGAGCTTAACAGAGACTGACTTACTCCCTGCTCATAAACCAGTGGCCCTTTCACTACAGGCAATTAGTCTCTGGCCCTCTCAGCTCAGGGGCTGAATAATGTCTCCTCCGCACTGTCTTTACCTCCTCCTCCTTCTTCTCCCCTGATGACCGCTGTGGCCCTGGGACAACATGTGGGTGCGACACCTTAAGGGGCTCACACCCTATCTCTGACTTCTTGCATGAGGTTTTTGGCTCCAGTGTGGCTGACAGTGGAGGTTGAGACGGAGCTGAGATGGGTGTGAGGGCCAGGCAGACGTCCCCCACGCTCAGCTGACGACACTGGAGGCCGCAGAGACGGGCAGTTCTCTGAGGGCTGCAGGAGGACCAGCCCTGCCCACGCACAAAGAACGGGTACTCCACATAGACGTCCACCAACTCCTGATAGAGGGAAAGACATATCCAGTATGAGAAAGAGAAATGCACATACTTTTTCCCTAGGGGACAGTGATTATCCAGTTTGTAGAATCTACCTCTGATTAATTCAAATAGCAGTTACAGAGCAAGAAACATGAAAGTATTTGATTATGACTTGTTTGAAACCTTTAGACACATTTTTATAAACTGGCCTGTGATGGTATGACCACCTGTCTCAGGTCAGGAGGCTATTAGAGAGTGAGCAGTATAAATGGATGGATGAATGGATGGATAGATAAATGAATGAATGAATGAATGAATGAATGAATGGATGGATGGATGTATAGACAAACGAAGAGATGGATGGATGGATAGGTGGATGGATGACTGAATGAATGGATGGATGGCTGGATGTGTGTGGTCTGAATACTCAACAATACTCATTTGGTCGGCTTAAAGGGATAATTTACCGAAAAATCAATAGGAGACATAACATTCAAGCTAAATAGCAACAAACATCTCAGTGTAACAATAAATACTACCCTACGTTTAAGGGCAGAGATTAAGTGATAATTTGCAGGAGATGGGGGTAGAGGAAAGGAAAGGAGAGACCAGTAGTGCTAGAAAGCAGAGGAGTGGTAGAAAGAGGAAGAGTGGTGCTAGGCAAGTGCTAGCTAGGGGAGAAGGTGTTCTCTGA